GAGCTGCCTTGACCTCATGTCCCTGTCCAGTGAGTAGTGATTGAGGATGAAATGCTGGAGGAGACAGTAAATGCCTGATGGGGTTGGGCCCTTACTCAGCCTGCACTTGTGTCCTCTTACTCTGCCCCCATGTCCTAGCACCCGCATTTACCCACACTGTGTGCTTTACCCACACGCTGGTCAAGTATTACTGAATGGGTTGTAAATGGAAACTAAACAGATAACTTTTGTGATTTCTTTACTTTTCCTTTCTTTTTTAATCAACCTGCGTAAGTGAAGTCTCAAGCAATGATTTTCAATCTTTTTTATCTCATGATACACTTAAACCAATTACTAAAATTCTGTGGCACACCAAAAAAACATATTTTATTTTTTGCTGATTTGACAAAAAAAATCATGCCAGACAGCTATTGTTGTGTTGGCTGTTGTCACTTTTTATTTGGCCATCTAAGGGAATTGAGGCCAGCGCCCCTGACTACGCAGTCAGGCATTGCAGCACACGGGTTGAAAATCGCTGATCTTGAGGACTGGGGGTCAGGTGCTGTGTTCATGAAATGGGGTCATCCAGCAGTATACTTTGACTCTTGCCTCATCTTGACTACTGCCTAAGCACTGACTTGAGGATGGGTCTGCCATACTGCCACGCTTTTGATTTTGTGAGTGTCCATCAAGTGGGATATTATGGTAGAACTAGAGGCCTGGTGCAAGAAATTCGTGTGTGGGTACAGTCCCTAGGCCTAGCCTGCGATCAGGGCCATCTTCCTTGGCTGCCGGCAGCTGGCCCCGCCCCCCACTGCCACCCACCTGGGTTCCCAGTTTGCCATCGGGTGACTGGAGCCTGCCAGCTGGCGGGAGGGACTGAGAGGTCACTGTCCCCGCCCACTCACCAGCCCCACCCCCGTCGCAGGTCGCCCTCTGTGTATGGGGCAACTGGCAGGGCAGGGACCTTGGCCTAGTGCCGCCAGCATCCCCTGCGACTCACCCCTGGGGTCCCCATTTGCCATCAGACAATGCCAGCCTGCTGGCCAGGGAAAGGAACCGAGAGGCGGCCAGTGCACTCATAGTGACTGGTCGGATGGTTGTTCTGCTGTTATGGTCACTGGGCTTTTATTATATAGGATATTGGTGGAGAACCTCCGTTCAGGTGACCTTGATGTTTTTGGCCAGTTCTCCAGAGCTGCCCAGTTTGGGGAACATCTGGCATCTGACATGCGTCACTAGCCTCCGCTGTGTGTGAACCTACCTGTAATCTTCACACTTACCAATTTTTCTAAAGGAAGGCAACACATTTCTTTTTCTTGGCTGGGGGCTTGGGAGGATATCACTCTTATTGTTATTGTTTCTCTCAGACCTTTCTTGCTTTATGCTTTTAGCAAGAGTTTGAATAATACTTTCAATCTCCTCCTCCATTTCCTTTGTAAAAAGCTCATTTTTATTTTTTACCTACATGTTAAAATGGTGAAACATGGTGATGGGAGAGGCATTTGGACTTGAAGGAGCTAGAGAAGCTAAAAAGAGAGAGGTTCTATTTTAGGAAGTCAGGGGACTGGGGAGTGTGGAGTTGACAAGGCAATTGGAAAGAGAAGGTGGGTCTGGACCAAGGAGGATCTGCTAATGCTAGTGGGAGGTAAGCACGGCAGATGGCGAGCCAGGACCAAATGGTACAGACCCAGGAAGTCTGCCCTCGGTGC